AGCCTCCCCCCCACAGCTGCCCTCTCCACAGCGGTCCTCCCATAGCCCCCCCCTTCCCCTGCCCCAAGACATCCCAGCAAGGCAAACCCACGTGGGGTCGGCCAATCTGCGAGCTGAGCGTCCATGCGCCCCGCCATCTCCACCCTTGCCGTCTTCTCTTTCAGGCTGAAGGAGCACTGACACCCGTCCCGGGAGGAAGCCGCGCCCTCCGCCCTTCAAGAAGAAGCTGAAATAAAGGATCCGGGGAAACGAACACCCCGCCCTTGCCTTTTGCACGCACTCCTGGAGACAGGCCGAAGCCAGCCCGAAGCCTGCGAACAACTGAGACTGCGGGGCTCGGACGGCCGCACCTCTGTGGCTGCCACCCACTGCCTTAACTGAGCCAGAGGCCAGAGCGCGCGCGTGTGTGTGTGCGTGTGCGTGCGTGTGCGTGTGCGTGTGTGTGTGTGTGTGTCTCACAGGCAGCGTGGGCCCGCAGCCCTTCCCTCTCAGGTATCCCCATGTAGAATGTTTCTGTGTAAGAGCCCCCCCACCCCCCGCGGTGGCCAGAGCTCAGGCCACTTCCTGCTGTCATTCATCGACACCCCGAATGAGGACAGGGAGCCCTCCAGGGTCCCCAGAGCCACGCACCAGCTCTCACGTGACATGAGAAGCAGACAGAGCCAAGACCCAGCAGTCCCCAGAAGAAGTGTCCGAGGCTCGGTCCAGGCTTGTCTACGCCCTGAGCAGGACGGGGCGCGCTGCAGCCCCACAGGGAGCGGAGGAGAGCTGGGACGGAGGCCGGCGGCGGCACCCAGCCTGAGCCGTGCTCACCTGGCCGCGGGATTAACTCTGCAACCCCCACATGCATCTGGCTATTTCTAGATCTGTAGCAGCGGGAGATTATTTATTTAAAATGTCCAATGAATTATATATGTAAGAGGTAGAAATGGTATTGTGTTATTTATTAAGACAAACTGCAGTTCTCTGGCCATTTGTTTTCTGGGTTCTATTGGCAGCATACTTTATTTGCCCTTTGAAATAAATAGATTTTTAAGAAAACTCAAGCAGGATGCTCTGAGCCTTGTCTCTGCACATGCTCCCATTATTCTCAGCAAACACAACTTCTGATCAGACCTGTGTGTCTGGGTTTTCTTAGGTTTGGAAACAGGAGAGGTGACCCTGCAGGTCAGCTGGACATGGAGACGTTTCTTACCAAAAAGTCTCCCTTGCTGGGCATGGTGCTGATGCCTGTAGTCCCAGCACTTGGGAGATAGAGGTAGGAGGACATGAAGACCTGACTCAAGAAAAAGAAGAAAGAAAAGCTGAGGGGCCCCTGGCAGCGTAGAGGGGCCCGCCGAAGCCCGGCAAGCACAGCAACTGGCCATGCGGTAAACTAGGCAATTGACAGGCACCCCAAGGTCCATCCTTGCAAGGTGGAGCTGGGTCTGGGGGGAGGGGAGGGCAGGCAGGGGGCGGGCTTTCAGACCGTGGGATCTGAGTTGGAGCAAGCGCGATGGTGCACTGTGCTCACAGACGGCCGCTGTCTTGGGAGGGGAGTGGGGGGGGGGACCGCGCAGGCAGGAGCAGAGTCGGGGTGGGGGCTCCCGGGGGTCTCAGTCCTCCTGCAGGATGGCCGCCCTCCTAGCACAGCTTTATTTTTCCTTGTTTTTAACGCCTTGTTTACAGCTGCACTTCTTGTCATTCCTGCAAGGGAAATTTGCATAAACAAGCGAGCTTGTCCGTCTGTTTCCTCCGCAGTCCTGCTCCCCCCCCACTCTGCACCTCTGTGCCCCGTACCCGCATCTCCCCAGCCAGCGCCGGGGCCCGCGTGGAGATGGACACGGCCTGTCCTTCCAGGTGCTCGGCGTGGATATTAAACTGCGTGAACAAAGGAAGGAGCCACTTAGCCATGAACAGAGAAACATGATACACAACACCTGCTCACCCCACGGCTCCCGTCCTCATGGGCCTCCGGACGGTGCCGCGCGGGGGCTGCCCCCCCCAGCCTCTCCCGCGACGGGACTGCCCCCCCTCAGCCTCTCCCGCGCCGGGACTGCCCCCCAGCCCCTCCCACGCCGGAGCTCCCCCCCCCAACCCCTCCCGCGCGGGGGCTGCCCCCCCCCCGGTTGTGTCTCCCCAACTGCACAAAGTTGTAGCAGAAAAATCTTAACACCCACAAAGAAAGCCATTTCCAATTCCTGAGTCTTCCGGCTGAGCCCTGATAAATGCCTTCGGAAATGGATCATTGATGCTCTTCGAAAATGAGGTGTACAGGCAGCTATTTTTAAAAGCAGTTAACAAATGCAGTTCATGAATGAAGATTTCATCATGACTTTTTAAGAGGAAAAAACAGTGCATGACTTTGGTATAAAAATAGGTCTTCCTTTCACCCTGCCAAAGCTGACTTCGCCTGAGGCCCACACCCCAGTCATAGGGAAACGGGTGTATGTTCCCGAGACATTCCTATTAGAGTCTGCCAGCAGCGGAGCACCGTCACTCATGCCTGTAATCCTGGCAACTCAGGAGGTTGGAATCTGAGGATCAAACTTGGCAGCAGGCCTGTGCAGGAAAGTTTGTGAGACTCTGATCTCCAATTAAACTCCATAAAAGCTGGAAGTGGAACTGTGGCTCCCGCGGAAGAAGACTAGCCTTGAGAAACAGCTGATGGACAGCACCTGGGCTCTGAGTTCAAGCCCCCGAGACAGCTACGGTTCCAACTTGGCATGTGCTGATCCCGGCTCTGCCCACCAGGGGCCCAGGACCTGTGCTTTTGGTGGACAGCCCCTTGTGCCATCCACGTTCCAGAATGGCCCACGGCTGTCTCTGCAGACCCGATGGAGGACTGTGGACTGTGGGGACTGCAGACTGTGGGCACAGTGTCTGATCACAGATGGGAGTGTGGGCGCCCCGCCGAGATGCTGCTGCCACCTGGGGGCGCCTGGGGACTTGCTCCTGCAATGGCCTGGCACCCGTGGCACCGTCCTGACCGCTCTGCCTCAGGGGTGTGTGTCACAGGCCCACGGGGTATCAGAGGTGTCCAGGAGCAAGCTTGGGTTCGTGGAGAGGTCAGGAAGAGAAGGGAGGAAAAGAATCAGAATTCTCCATGGCCAACCTTTCTCCAATCCTTCTGAGCTGTTTTCCTTTTAGAACGACGCAGATGATCGAAGCTGAGGCATGGGCGCGTTCAGGCTGCTGCAGGCTCTCGTAGCACAGCCAGGGCAGGCCTGGGCCCAGCCCGGCCAATGAGGAGCCGGGAGCCTGGCAGTCACCAGCTGGCAGGCAAACCTTCCAGACACACAGGCCTGTTTTACTTGTACCAGAGGATCCTTTCCTTTCTGATGTGTGGGGAGAAATGCCTGGTCTGAGCTATATGTCAAAGCTACTTCTCTGCCCAAGATGCTGCCTGTGTGAACTTCTAATAGTCCTTGAGATAAGTCTGTCTTTGAGAGTTCACAAAAGGTCCGCTGTTAGGCTTTAGCTTTGGGGGGTTACACACGTGGCCCCACCTGCAGATGCAGTGTGGATTCCACTTCCTGGCTCACCAACGGGCTTCCACTGGTCATTTTCCCCTGCCAAGGTCGATACCCCACAGACCAGGGGCCCAGAAGAGCGCGCACACTGCCAAGGTTGCCTGTCCTGGTTATAAGCTGGGAACTAGGGTCATGGGCAATGTGCCTCTCCTAAGCCACTCCTGGCCAAAACTCTAGTGCTGCCAGCTCCTGTGTCCCCTGCTTCAGAGGGACTACACATATGAAGGGAGGCCTCCCTGCCTCTCCCCAAGCAAATGGTCCTAAGTCTGTCCCAGGGAAGGGCTCTCACTGGACATGGACATCGGCCTCAGAATGGTTCCTGGAGTCTGCAGTTTGTTTCCTGCTTAGGTCTGAAAACTGTCAGGTCCAGAAACTGCAGAGGTCCCCACTTTCACCAAAGTCACCTGTCCTCAGACGGCCTGAGCTGAGAGGGTTTCTGTTTGACTGCACACAGACGTTGCCTCAGGGATATGATGTATTAACGGTGTCATCCACGGCAGGCCGAGGCGCGCAGGAGCTGTGGCCGCCCGCTGCGGGCAGACCCGGCGGGCCTGGCCTCCACTCTGATCTATCAGGTCCTGCAGTAACTGCATCCAGCAGCCGGTGACAGTGAAGCGCCAATGGCTGCTGGACCTGGGCCACTGTAAGACAGCACGGCCGGTGGCTTATAAACAGCAGTTGGATCTGTCACTTTGTAAGCAGTTTACCTGACAACTCTAGAAGTCCAAGATCCAGACCCAGCCTGAGGTCTAGTGAGAACCCGCTTTGTAGACAACACCTCCGGTGAGTCCTGGCTTAGGGAAGGGGCAGGAAGTCCCTCGGGGTGTCTGTGAGGGCTCTAATCCCATTCAGGGGTGCTCCACCCTCGTGACCCTGCCGCCTCCCACAGGCCCCACCCCTCGACCCTGACCTTGCAGCTTAGGTTTCCCCTGTGGATTGGGGGAGGGGGACACAAACATTCAGACCCTCGACCGGCCAGCTCCTACTGCGCACCTGTCAGGCACCTGGCCAGGCTCCTAGAGCTGCAACACAGGACCCGTGTCCCGACTTCCCCGCACCGGTGCCTGACCATCCTGTAGGCCAGCACAGGAGCTCTGCAGGAGCAGACAACCTGGTCTGTCACAGCCGCACAGCCATGCTGAATACCGAGCTCTGCTTCTCCTTCCTTCCCACGTGGTGGCCACCGTCAGAACACAATTTGTCCCAGAGCGATCTTTTCTCGTGTGGAAGAGGCAGCCGCCATTGCCTGTTGGGCTGGGGGAGGCAGGCTGTCCCCCGATCGCTTCCCACACCCTAATCATTGTCCCGTCCCTGGAGGACTCAGCTCTAACGCCCAGCACCGCTGCCTACCAGGCCTGCGTTGTTCCCACAAAGTGATGCCGCCCGAAAAACGTTTGCAAAGCAGACTGAAGACTTCAGTGGCCATTTAGAGTGTGTTTCCACCTCTGTGGCCGTTTAGAGTGTGTTTCCATCTCTGGCCATTTAAAGTGCATTTCTGCCTCTGGGTCTATTTGAACAAATGCCAGGTGTTTCAGCCCCTCCCTCGGGGAGCCATTTACACTCAATACCACACACGGGCCCAGGCTCGGGCACAGGCTCAGGCTCAGGCACAGGCTCGGGCTCAGGCACCAGCCCAGGCTACAATGCTCACTCTGCTGGGCTACTCAGGCTATCAGACCTTGAAGTTCTAAGTGCTCCCTGTAAATCAGTGTGGCGTCACAGACAGGACCTCGGCATGACTGCATGAGAATGGATGTCAGGGACCCCTCCGGTGACTTACTCTCTCAAACACTTCCGAAACAGTGCTCATCAGTGCTGGGAGGAACAACCAAACCCTCAAGTCATCCCAAAGGCCGAGGCGCTGATGTCTATTGCTGTCTTGCAATTATGCTCAGAGCGAACCTCCCGCACACCAGGGTGGACTGAGCAGAAACGCCCACTGGGAAGGAGGCATTCACTGGGGACACCCCAGACAGCCCCCATCTTTCTCCAGAGGAGCCCCCAGGCACAGATGGGTGAGATCAGAATCTAAATGACAAGTTCCCCACACCACCCCAGACAGCCAATTACACAGCCCAGCCTCTGAGTCAGACCAACTTTTTTCTTTCTTTTCTTCCCTCCCTCCTTCCTTCCTTCCTTCTTTTCTTCCTTCCTTTCTTTCATTCTTCTAAATCTTTTTTGTTGTTTTTGATCATGGGGCTTGAACTCAGGGCTTGGGTGCT